CAGATCAAGCTCTTTGGATCTTCCCGCATCTCCCCAGCCACCGACCTGACTCAGCTTTCTTTACTCCCTGGCTACTGACGATCTCAGCCTTTCTGGCTTGTATCCACAGAGCAGTCCAGTGGCAAAGTCTACACAAGGCAAGTGCTGGAATTCGTGGCCGTGTACCGGAGCCCTTGAGTGACTGAGATGCTACAAACGCGATACCTCTGAAAACAAGCCTTCGAAGAGCTTACATGTATGTACTTAAAATGCAAGCTTAACATTCTAAATTCCATACATACTTTAGTCGTATCTAGGCAGTGGGAGGAAGAAGGGGAGAATCAGCCCAGAAGGACTGCTGGGGGCAGGGTAGGCTTTCAAATGCCAGAGAAACATTCCACAACCTGGAAGTTGAAGGGCACGGAGTGGAGTTAAACAGACTGTTCGCGTGCTGTCTCCTCAGCCCGGAGCCCTCACCGACGTACTCGAGCTGGCACTTCTTCAGCCTGCGGACTGACTGACCGCTTGGCAGTGCTCACCACTGCGTGATACTCTCAGCTGCTCGTACGACCCCAACACTGGTGAGTGGGGGCTGCTGCCTGGACATCTCAGTGCAGCCAGCCCGGAGTACTTCAAGTGGCGAGACAGATGCCCTTGGAGCCAACTCTGGATGCTTCAAACCCGGGTCGGGGGTCCAGAAGAGGAAATGGACAGGAGGAGAGGGAGTGCTTTCTCTGGTGGGTAAGTCAGGACACACACAGTGAATCAATCCCACATCAAAGTATGGTCCCTGGCCTAGCGGCACCAACACCATCCAGAAACTTGCTAGAAATGCAAATTCCAGGACCCCACCCAGGCCTACTCAATCGGTGTCTTAACAAGCTTTCCAGGAAATTCTGATGCATCCTAAGTATGCACTCACCTCCCTCAGAACTTAATGGGGACTAAGGGCAAGCTCTGCCACCTAGGACCCACAGCTCTGAATACCCCGGCTCCTCACGGCTGCACGAGCCCTTCAAGTGACCTGATGCACACTCCCCGCTCCCCGCCCCAGCGAGCCCTTGTGGAGGCCGGCACGTGAGGCTCCTAGAAGCCCAGCTAAGGATACACTCCTCATCTGAGGTCTCGCTCACAACTAAGTCACCCCTCTGGCTAGATTTTACAGGAATAAGCTCTTACTTTCCAACCTCTTTTTTCTACAGGATATGATAATCCATTTTAAGTCACTTCCCCATTTTCCTCATCAACTTTTGTCAAAGGTCATGGGACCCCTGCTTTCTCTCTCCTTCCTGCTCTAGGTCCAGAATGGTCAATGCAGAAGTGGGAAAAATCTGCAGTCTCCTCATTAGTGTTATCGAGGATAGCAAATCCGAAAAAATACTAGGTAGTATCCATCAAAAGGGACTGGGTAAATAAAGTTACAACATATTGATAAGATGGGGTACAATCTTTCAAATCATATCGTAGAAACATGATCAGGGAATATATTCTACTCTCCAATGTGATTTTAGAGCTATATTATACTGAGTTTAAAAAAAAAAAACTGTCAGTAAGAGGATATGGTTTTGGTGGCACATATCAGAAACCGAAAATTTACAGTTCTTGGCCTACTGCGTCCCCATATCACACTGAATGCTCACTTGCCTCCGTCTCTGTCCTCCAGATGTGCTCACATTTGGCAGAGAGCCAGAGGTAAGACAAGAGAGGGTGTCTGAGCAGCTCCCCCACTCCATGAGCAATGCCCAGATGTGTGGAGGAGCCTACCACAGGCGCGACCAGAGATCACATGAACGTTAGAAGTGATACAGGTGTGGAGTATTTGGGGAGATGATAGTTCTGCTGATATCTGCAAAAAAGGGAGAAAAATCAAAGCACAGAGAGACCAAAAAGGCAGTGAAATACAGGCACTCTCACCCTAAGGAAATACGAAAATTAATCGGTAAAAGCAAACTTGTTGTCCCCACATAGGGAACATTAACTTGCTGAGAAATTCCTTCCAAAGACAAGAATCAAAACAAAGGGCTGATTTCTCCAAACTAGACAGATCTGCTACCTTACGGTTATGCTCAAGAATTATTTTGCCAACTTTTTCAAGTTCTGAGAATGTGACACAATGTGGTTAATGTAACCTGCCTCCTAGCTGGCTAGAGATAGAAATGCCAAGTGTCACTGGCGACACAAACACTTGGTTTCTGCAAGCCCTCACTCTCTTCAGAATCTACACACACACAGTGGTCCTCCTTTTTTTTTTTTTTTTTTTTTTAACATTAAACCAAGGCAGCAGCATTTGGCAAAATCGGACTCTCGTGCCCTCACCCCTTCCTCTCTGCTCCTAACAAGTGGAGGATGTGGCTGGCTGGAGGCCCTTAACAGTGTAGATCTGGAAACACAAGACCAACCCCTGATTTACTGACTAAGATCCACACCTACTCCCACTTCAGGGGGTCTGATATTGTAAATTTGATGGAATCTAGAAGGGAGACTCCCCTACAGGTTGGGCTCATAGTAATCACTTCGACAGTAGGTTAAATATTTCCAAAGGGGAGGGGAAAAGTTAACTACAAATAAATCAGCACTGCTCAGTCCTCCTGTCAGTTGCCTTAGCTGAAGATGCAGAAATGTACAACCCGCTGCTTTAAATCAGGGCACTCAGCACCTGAGCTCCTAGAAACGTGGTGAGCACTAAATTAGCCTGAAAACAACACTTCAAGAAGTTAGAGAAAAAACAAATTTTCCATTTGCACATCCACATTTCAGCTTTTTATACTTATGTTCTTTCCCAAACTGACAGTCCAGCACTTTGACCGCTCTGTCCCACATTAAAACACATCTATTTCAAAGCTACAAATTTTTATGTACTCTTTTCTCTGGGCCCATAGTCTTATGAAAGACAAGGAACCAAAATTCCAACCATTTATTCCTATTAGACTCTTTCCACACCTTCTGGCTAGGTCACGGCTATCCTATGTATAAGCATTCTCCTGCAGAGGAACAGGGGTAGCATTCTTTGTCTCAAGCTTATTCCATATACTTGGAGTAGTGGAAATGTTTCAGCCCAGAGGAGGAAGCTCAAAAGCTCCTATGAAACTCCATAAGCAAGTCAAGATAATCAGACGACCAGAAGGTAGAAGGTAGCGGGTACTCAGTAAATACCTACCAAATAAATAAATGACCAATAAAATACAAATAGGATTTGTAACTGTACTCCGGGAGAAACCGATGGAGATATTGACCTTCCACTTGAAAAACACACACGTAAGACCATTTTTTACCAAGCAGATGAACACAAACTCAAGTACTTAGGGTTAACTGAAGGCATGGAGAGATCAAGTAACCTAAATGTTATTGGGAGAACTATAAACTGGTAGAGTATTTTCAAAGGGCAATTTACTAGTATCTATCAATATTCAAAACATGTGTATTTCTCAGCTGAAATTAATAACATTCAAAATGTGTATATTTTTCAGCTGGAATTAATTCTATAGATATATTCCTATATTTATGAAAACATAGAAATATATGTCTTTTGTATTACTATTGGAAAATAGAAAAAAATGAAAGCAATCTAAATTTCTATCAGTAATAGATCTGTTATGTAAGACAGACCTAAACAATGGAATCCTTTCTAGCCATCCTTACCACTAAAGGATACCTCTACAGAACGAAGTGGAAGTTAAGTCCAAGATCTAGCCTACTAAAGTAAAACGGCAAGGTGCAGAATAGTATGTGTAACAGAATCTCATCTGTGCTCCAAAATTATACACTTATGCTTATATATGAATAGAAACATTGTGGAAGGTTATCTCCAGTAACGGATTCAAGGGAGGAGATGGACAGAAGAAAATGTTCCCTTAAGCACAATAAAAAGGTGTTTCTTTTTGTTGTGTTGGATTTTACCACAAGCATACATTGACTTCCTCTCAGGACAACCCATTTCAGGAAGTGTCCTGGCCCCTCCCAGCGAGGGTGCCACCTTCCCTCTGTGCCCCCTGGCACTCTGGACACCACTCTATTCCAGAACATCGCATACTACGTGGTCTACTCACTGACTTCCCACATTAGCGGAGAGCTCCTCTGAGGCGAGGGACTTGGCTGCTTTTTCTGCATGCCCAGCACCTAGTAGGGTGCCTGACACACAGTCACCCCTTAGTTAGAACAGGAGGGTGGAAAGGAGGGTCCTATACAAAGATTAACCAAGCGGCTAAATACATTCTATTGAGAGAAGGTGGGATCAGGAGACCAGGAAGGCTGGCCGGAAAGACAGCATGGACTAGAATGAAGAATGGATTCAAGTCTAGCTCTCTCACGTGAAAGCCTTGAGGCGTGTGAACGAGGCTGGAAGGTACCTACAAAGCAGAACCACCAGGCCCAGAGCTGCAGGCACTTTCCGTGAGAAAGAAGGTGTGGCCACTGCCACAGTCCCTACAAGGCCACAAGGGCCTTATGACTCGTTCAAGCAAGGAGAAAGCCCTGAGAGCAACTTCTGACCATCCCAGCTCTCTGCTGGAAACACCCGGGGGCCTCAGCCAGTCTGGAGCAAGTCTGGACTGGCGCCATCTATGAGGCCTCGAGATCACTTCTGCGGATTACTTTCCTCCCACGGTGATGGCAGCGATCACTGAAATCATCTATATGAAAAGCTGAGCACAGTCCCTGGCTGAGCCGAAGCTCTCGGAATATAAGCTATTATTATCAACTGCTTATAGAATCTTTTCAAGAATTCTAAGCATTACAACTGCAGAAGTCATCAGGAAGGGTCTGATTTCCAACAAGAGCCAGGCCGCCCCATTTATCTCTGCAGTAAATAAGCTTACTGTCTTCCCAAGCACGTTCAAAACAAGCCGGAAGCTGCTGCTTCTGTGTTTCTTACTTGTGTTATCATTTCAAACCTGAGCTTTGTCAGCTAGCACAGGCTCATCTCAGAAAGCCAGTATTTAAATAAACTTTACACAGCACCTTTCTCCTGCCCCGTCTTGACACCTGGACCACGGCTGCCATGGTCGGCACCGGGATTCACTCACCACAGCGGGCGGGTCATTCCACTCTTCATAGGAGAGGGCAGCATAGGGATAGATGCGGTCGTTGATGATCTGCAGAGTGGCCAGGGCAATGGCTTTGATCGACTGGAAGTACGCTTCCCAGAACCACCGTGCCTGGAAAGGAAACGACATGTGCTCAGTGAGCAAGAGAGACACTTGGAAGTGGAAGAACTCGGTGCCCTCTCAGACGCAACTCGGGGTCTGGGTAATTCCGTTATTCCCGCAGGGAGGAAGCCAACGGCAAATGCTCCCTGCTGCTCCCGCCAGCTGCAGGAGAAGAACGCATTTATCAAACGCAGCCAAAACAGTGTGAGCAAATGAAACGCACCCTGGATTCAATCTGGGTAAAAGAGAAACCGTGTCTTGATGAAAATAATCAACGTCACACCAGAACAAGTTATAGTCCTTTTTTTGGTCTACATATCAAGTGCATAAATTTTAAGTGTACAATTCAACAAATGTTTAGGTATGTACATACTCTTATAACTACCACCAAGATAAAGATACCAAACATGCCAGCACTCCCAGAAGATTCTCTTCTGCTTCCCAGGCACTTTCCCAATCATCCAAGAGTAATCATCATTCTCATTTCTATCGTGCCTGCTACTGAACGTCATACAAGCGGAATCAAAACTGTATTTACTCCTTTGCAGCTGACTTCTTTTGTCAACACTTGAAACGTTTGAGTCAGGTTTTGGTGTCAAGGTCATGCTGGCTTCTTAAAATGAGTTGAAAAGTGTTCCTTCCTTTTCTATCCCCTGAGAAATTTTAGGCAAGGCTGGAATTCTTTCTTTCTTGAAAGGTTTACAAGAATTCACCTAAAAGCCATCTGGGTTAGGAGCTTTTTGGTGTGTGAAGGTTTTTGAAGCATGGATTAATTTTCTTTCACAGACACAGGATTAAACATATTTTAATAAGCGTGTTGGTTTCAAAAGTATGATTTTCAAGGAATGTGTTCATTTCATCTACATTGTTAAATGTACAGGGCTCAACGTGTGCTAACATCTACTCAGTGCCTGTGGAATATGTAGTCATATACTTCTTTTCATTCCTGATATTGATAATCTGTATATTTTCTTTGTATTTGCTCTAACCAGAGATTTATCACCTTTACTAATCTCTTCAAAAAAAACCGACACTTGGTTTCGTTGATTTTCTTTATTGTACTTTTTGGTTTTTTTTTCCGTATCTTGTTCCTTTCTGTTCTTACATTTTTTCCTTTCTTCTATTTTGGGGGACTTTAATCCATCTGGCATTTGATTTCTTGAGACTGACATTTAGATTACGAATTTTAATCTTTCTTCATTTCTAGTATATGTTTAAAGCTACAAATTGGCCTCTACGCACTATTTTAAATGTGCCCTACATGATCACATATCATTTTCATTATAATCTAGGTAAAACAATTTTCTAGAAGTATGCTGTTTAATTTCCAAACATTTTGGGATTTTCTATTTATCTTTTGTTGCTGACTTCTATTTTGGCTGCACTATGGTCAGAGACCATGTGTTATTTTAAAAGTTTGCCCTTTATTCCTGACTACATTTAAGCTTCTCTCTGTCTTCATCTTGCAGCAGGTCCACTGTGATGTACTTAGGTGTGGCTCTTTGGATTTATCCCACTGAGGACTGTCGAGCCTCTTCACTTCGTAGTTTGATGTCTTTCACTGTTTTTAGAAAACTCTCAGCCAGTATTTCTTTAAATATTGGTTCTGTCACACTCTCTTCTCCTAGGACTCTAGATATACAGACAGAAATGTTTTTACCACGCCCCATATGTCTCTTAATCTCTTTTCTGTGCTGCCATCTGGGTATATTTTCTACTAATTTTTCTCCTGGCCCAATAATCCTCTATCTTCTGTGTGTGCGTGCATGCGTGCATGTGCGTGTGCATGTCTGTGTGCGTGTGCGTGTGTGCGTGCGTGTGTGCATGTGCCCGCTCGCATCTAAACAGCAGTCTAGACCAGCATATTGACTTCTCAACTTAGTTCATATATTTTTAGTTACAAAATTTCTTTTTATCCATCTATTTATTTGTCAGAGACAGAGAGAGCACAAGCAGGGGGAGCGAAAGGCAGAGGGAGAGGGAGAAGCAGGTTTCCCAGTGAGTAGGGAGCCCAATGCAGGGCTCAATCCCAGGACCCCGGGATCATGAACTGAGACAAGTTCTTAACCGTTCTTAACCGACTGAGCTACCCAGGTACCTCACAAAATTTCTACTTGACTTATTAAAAAGCAGATTTCCTATCTTTGTTAAAATTCCCTTATTTTATTAAGCATAGTTCCTGACTGATAACCCTGATATCTGAATCAACTGTGGGTCTCTTTCTACTATCTGTATTTACTCTTCATTTTGGTCATTTGGTTTCCATTCCTAGCATACCTCTTAATTTTCTTTGGACAATTATTTCTTAAAAACTATAAAGGTTCTGTATATACAAAATTATTTTCCTCCTAAGTGTAACATTCTTCTGGAAGACACAGAGAATGCAGTCAGACCACTTTAATCCTATCAGTGGCTGGTGTTAAGCTTTGCTAGGGCCAACTTTTTTCTGCCTTCCCTTACTCTTGTAGTGTGGCCTTTTGGGGCCCTCGGACAAAGCCTGGGGTGTCTACCAGGACCCCTCTATCGCGGCAGGCCCTGAACACCAAACTCCCTCCCACCAGCAGTATATATGGTTGCTAGAATGTTTGCACAGCTTGTCAGGCTCTCAGCTGCTGCTTTCTGCAGGGAGTCGTAGTGTCTTATTCTGATCCTGTGCACCTCAGGAGCTGGCAAACACTTCAAGGGAAGACTGCATGCCCAGTTTTTGCTTACTTTCCTGTGGTTCCCATCTTCCTGGATTTTGTCATTCAAATCCTGGATACTTTGGGGTAGCCCCTAATTTCAACCTCTCAGCCCTATGAGACTGCTACTTTCCACGAGGGCTCCAGATGCCCAGACTGTGAATTAGAAAGTGCCTGCAGAGGAAAGGCCAAAGGAAACAAGGAGCTCAGCCTGCTTTCCTTCTCTCAGGAGCCACAGTCCCTTAAGCACTGACTTCCCAGATTGCTCTCGAATGCCTCTATATTATCTATTTTAATAAGCTTTTATCCTTTTTTCCCCCCTGGCTGGAGAGTTACTCTAATACTAGCTACTCTGTCACAGCCCAATACAGTCTTTTGTAAGAAGACAGTCTCTTATCCAAGCAGAGTTTGGATTCAGTCCCCAAGAAAGCAAGATGTTGGTCTCGGTGACCTGTCTGTCCAGCTTCATTCTGACCTGTGATTCCACTCAGAATTAGCAGCTATGAGGATTTCTGCAAGGGAGCGAACATGTGAAAAACGGAACATGAAAAGTTCAAAATATAACCAAAAGAGGTGGAGGAAAAAGATACTTTCTAGTTTACACCTGCTAACTTTGGTTCTGTTTCCCAGGCAAGTCCTCCATTCATGAGGGAAAGCCTGGGATGATGCCCGCTGAGGTGTGTGATGACTACTTTCTTCACTAAGAGTAAGAAAGAGGCAAAGCCTCACAATGAGGGTTTCTCCTACTCTAAGAAAAGCTGACCCAGATTTAGCTACCAAGGGCATCTGTCTGATGCCATCCTGTAGTGTGCCATCTGGGTACAGCCCGGTGGCTGGCTGCCTGCCACGGCTTCTTAAAAATACTCCACTCACTCCAATCTCACCCCTGCTCAGTCATGTTGCTGCTGTCCTGCCTGTCATCTAGCCAAAATAGTGACATTTTATGAGACCTGAAAGAATCTATCTTTCCTGTGAAAATTTTACTGATCGCCCCAAACACCAACAATCTCTCCTTACCAGGAAATCCCACAGCACTGACGGCCTTTACTTTATAGGTTATTCTGCACATACTGTTCTAGAACAGTTTTCTTGTTATTTCAGATGACCACTTTTCTCTCTTCCAGCTAGACTGCGAGTTTCCTGGATGTGGAAACTGGCTTTTTTTTTTTTTCTAAATTATTAGCATCCTCATAGATGTTAGGATGACCTGCGCAAATGTATTTCTGAATGCACAGTCTCATTTGCTCTTTAAAACCAGCTTGTCGCTTACCTGGGGCAGTTCCATTTTCTGTGCAAGGAAACCAAGATGCAATGATGTTAAGTGGCCCGGTCACAGCTCAAACCCAGGATCTTTCCCCCTCCATTCTAGAATACAGGGAGTACCAACCACACTCCAGTTTAGGAAAGGGTCCTTCCTTAAGAAACTAAAAAGGTGTGAAAGTTCACTAAGAAGCACGAGCCCACACATAAACACACATATCTTAAATAGTTACCCCTTCTCTACCCACATGGGTCCATCATTATGTTCTTTCATTTTAAATCATATTCAAATGAAGCCACATTCAAACTCAAGCATTCCAAAGCTTTATGTTCACGCTTAGTCACAATGGAGACAGCAGTCTTTGGGATTTATAGGAAACAATGATTGTTAACAAATCCACCTCGCACACGGGCCAGAGGCACGACTGTAGGACAACGCTTCTAATTTAAGATGTCTCAAGTCATCCCGCCCTGTCCACCAAATTGCAATTCACGCAGAAAGGAAGAAACTTTGCCAATAACCATGGCTCAGGTCTCTCTGCCTGCAGATAAGTGAACTTCTCAAGCTTAATTATTTCTTCGGGACCTCCTAACACTTTGTAGTCTTTAGAAGGCACTGTAACCTATGGCCCCTCCAGGACACAGTATCAGCCACCCGCTGGCAGAGAGGAAGGAGTATTCAACTATGTTGTCAATGCACAAAAGCAGGGCTGTTCCCATCCAGTAAGCAAATGCGTATTATGTTTTGATTTCCTTTCTGCCCCCTATGACATGGGCCACATTTATCACTTCCTGAAGAGGTAAATGAGGTATCTTCAGCAGCTCTGCAAATTCCTCAGTCACTTACCTTGTGGAAGTTGCATGACTACAGAGTTAAGTCACAGATGCATTGGTCATACCAACATAAACTTGACCAGAGTGTCTAACCTTTCTTCATTAAACATATGCCACCATAATTTTATAAAACATGCAGATTTCAAAGCACAAGAACCAGCAAGTTCTTAACGTTTTCAATCGTGACAATTATAAAGCTCCTAGAGATCAAGAATTGGGCCAACTCAAAGCTAT